AGTAAAAATTTTGTATGCGGATGTCAAAAAGAGTCATTTTTTTCAGTTTATGTTTAAGTGGCAACATTAGGACTACCAAAACGCCACCTTTTTTTTAATTTTTTACAATAAAAAAAATTAGTTTATGTTTTAGTTGATTATCGATAAAGTTGATTATTGAAAACAGAATAAAACGACATTTTCTAGAAATACCTGGGCCACCGAGTTGGTCATAAGGTTGGTTTTTGGTCAAAAGTACAATTTTGTTTTAAAAATAATACAAAAAACTTGAATAAATACAAAAAAATATACCTTTTAACCCGACCGGGATTCGAACCCGGAAACATGTTCAATCTTGCGCCTTGACCGCTTGACCATGATGCTTATATCCGAGTGTACGAAATTATCGAACATAATATTATGCGTGGTATAATGCAAAAGAAAACCGCATGAAAATTCGAAATAACACAAATAGTTTTTTTTTTTGGTTTCCACAACACATTCTTTATTACTTACAAAAATAAGCTCGTGTTTCTTAAATATATTATAGAAAACAAATTTAATTTTAGTGATCGTAACTCAAAATGTCCAGTATCTTAAAAGATAAGTATTTAACGTAAGTTCTGTATATTAATTTTCGTTTAAAATAATTAGCAACTTCGCTATCTCTATTTTTGGTACATTTTTGTATTTCATCTTTTCAAAGTTAGAGAGAGGAAGATATAATACAATATACAGTACAATGAGACAACTTGCATACAATCTTTACGTCTTTAGAATCATGTAACTCGGCTAATATGGTCTTTTTAACCTAACTAAGAATTAATAAAGAATAACATCTACCTATTTTAAGTTAAATCATCCGTTATGTCACAGATCATATAATACTGTACTAGTACAGATAGAGCATCCCATACAAATATTTGGACACCGCTAATTCGGGATACTCAGCGGGCTATTTTTTTCCTAAAATGGATAATAGATGGTGCTTATGAGAATTGAAAAAAGGCGAAATCTAGTACCTCTAGTTGTAAATGTAAAGGCTCGAATTGATAGACGGCGATAAAAGGTATCTGTCAGCAAGGCAATGTTGTAGGTACGGTGGTAATGGTGTAAGGGCTCTCAAGGCCACTATGGCAATGGGGAAGATTTCTCGCAAGGCGGGCGCCACACCTATGGCCTATTTACATTCAGTCTGAGGTTAAACAATTTATTGTGATATCGCTTTTATACTTGGTTTTTTTGCTTCTATCGTGTTCGCATCTTACCTGTGCAATGTATTGTACCTGAAAGTCAGACCAGCTGAAGGAAGAATTCAGAAGGAGAGGTGCATCCTGCGGTGGTCTTGACTGACTGATGGATAGAAACACAGCCTCAACCGCTGGTCGTAGAAATGTGAAATTTGGAGGACGTATTCCTTTTATAATGTTGGCATCGGCTAAAAAAGAATTTTTTAAAATTTGTCCCCTAAGTGGGTAAAATAGGGGAATAAAGATTGTATGAGACTCTGTCATTCTTAGTTGTGTTCTGGGGTTTAGCTTTAAGATAAAAAAATAGAAAATATATTGATTTGATTTTATTTCAAAATTCACCCATAAAGGAGCAAAAGGGAGTAATAAAGTTTATATGGGCAAAGAATAATTTATGATCACAATTACTTGAAAGTTTCATGTAAAAATTCAATACAATTAAATAAATACGTGATTTAGCATTTTACGAAATTGAATCCCATAGGGGGTAAAATGGGGGATGAAAGTTTATTTATTTATTATTTTAGGGAAACAAACAGTGAAATAATCCATACAAATAGTTATAAACTAAAAACATTCACACAGTAGCAAAGTTTCCACTTATAAATTTGTACAGGTAGAGTAAACATGATAATAATAAGTTTAAACTTTAAAACCATAAAACAAAAAATTTAACAAAAAATTACTACAAAATTAAAACACTATATAAAGGACAACAAAAATGACTTAAGTGAACATTATAAAAATAAAAAAAATCAAATTATAAAATCTAAAGAAAAAACTTAATTTAGTTAAAGCTATGCCTATAAGCCGCCTCGATTGTCATCATCCTCCATTTGAAATTATATTTAATTATGGCAAGGTCTCCTATCTTCTTGAAAATACTCCAATTACCAAATTGTGTTTTTATAAAACCGATTATATTAACTGTATTAAAGAATTAAAACAAATTGATTGGGAAAGACATGCTAATATACTTAGTTGCGATGAATATGTACAATTTTTTTATAATATTTTGTATACAATAATAGAAAAATACACACCAAAATCTAAACAACGCAATAATAGATAGCCTTTTTGGTTTTCAAAAAGTTTAATTAAACTTATCAAAAGCAAGAATAAATATCATACACTTTTCAAAATTTACAATAATCCAAGAGACTATGATACTTTTGCTCTCCTAAGAACAAGAGTTAAACAACAAACTGAAATATGTTTTAGGTCTTATATATCAAATATAGAAAATAATTTAATTAAAAATATTAAAACTTTTTATCGTTACACTAAAAATAAGAGAGTAACTAATAATATCCCTAAACAGCTGCATTTTAATAATAGAGTAGCTGAATCTGGTATTGATACTACTAATCTTTTTGCTGAATATTTTTCAACTGTTTATGGAAATATATCATCTATTAATTATACACCAAAATTCCCTCCATCTATTTTTTCTATAAGTAATTTACAATTTTCCGCAGACGCAGTTGAACTTCAACTCAAATCAATTAATATTTCTAAAGGATCGGGCTCTGATGGTATTCCACCAATTTTTATAAAAATTTGTTCTTCTGCATTATCAAAACCATTAACAATCATTTATAATAAATCAGTTTTAAATGGTATATTTCCATCTTTATGGAAAATTGCTAAAATCACCCCTATTTATAAATCAGGCGATAAGAGTGATGTCAGAAATTATCGACCAATTTCTATCTTAAACTGCTTTGCTAAAATTTTTGAAACTATGATCTATAAACAACTGTACAGTCATATAAAACCACATCTTAACATTAAACAACATGGTTTCGTATCTGGTTGCTCCACAACTTCCAATTTATTAGTTTATACCACTTTTTTATGTGAATCATTTGATACAAAGACTCAAGTAGATTCAATATATCTTGATTTCTCCAAGGCGTTTGATCGAGTAAATCACACAATACTATTATCTAAGGCTAGCCATCTGGGCATACATGGTAATCTTTATCGTTGGCTATGCTCTTATCTGGATAGCCGTTCTCAATTAGTAGCTCTATACGGGTATGAATCATTTCCATTTCTAGCCACCTCTGGTGTACCACAAGGATCTATTTTAGGCACTTTGTTATTTTTGATATTTATCAATGACCTACTGTCTTTGATAAATAGTGAATGCCTCGCATATGCTGATGATATAAAAATCTTTTTCCAAGTCACTAAAAGAGAAGATTGTAAAATTCTTCAGCGTGATCTCGACTCTATCCGAATGTGGTGTGATGAAAATTTGATGGAGCTTAATAAAAATAAATGTTATATCATTTCATTTACAAAAAATAAAGCTCCAATATCGTTCGACTACAACATAGCAGGTACCGTTATTTCTAGAGTCAAAGTAGTACGGGACCTAGGTGTTATATTTGATTCAACCTTATCTTTTAGGCCTCATATAGATTACATTACAAGTAAAGCAAATAGATCACTCGGTTTTATCATCCGAACTGCCCAACCTTTCAAAAATTCAATCTCGTGGATAGTTTTGTATGTCACTATAGTAAGAAGCATACTTGAATACTGCTCTTCCGTATGGAAACAAATATATGATATTCATATTAACAGAATCGAGGCTATACAACGTTGTCGGCGCCACATCGGCACCGAGGAACGCAACGCAGCCGCAGCCCTCACGCTATTGGCTACCCGCAGTCAACGCTATTGGTACCACGCGCGGCATGACGCGATAACAAGCCAATCACAAGATCGGAATATCACGACATACACTCGCCACGTTCTCAACCTACGCTAATGATGCCAACACATTACCACCTGTCACGGCATCGAACGCGCGTCGTGTCCTAAGCTAATTATTTGCCTAAAGTACTAATTGTAATTATACCATTAAACCTACATATTTTTTTATTTAAAGTTTGTTCCCTATCTCGAACAAAAAGTGGCGACCGTGACAGGACACGACGACTTGCACTATAATCTTTGTCGAGTCCGGCAGGTTTTACAACAAATCATCGACGCCGAAACAGACAGCCATCATCATTGCAGAGGAGTTCGGAGCCAGCAGAATAAGAAGAGGACCGTATTGGAGGTGCCTACGTCCTGGAGCCGCCTAATCAGCTGATCCCACGGCTGGGGAACCCGGATACCTACCTACCTCTCGCATCAACTGCCAACGATCATAAAGTGAGCCCGTTCCTATCATTCTTCCTTGTTCTATCCTCTTCTATCTTTGTATTTACTAAGTGTCTGTTTCTCTAAATGTTTGGTGATCTAATCAATTGCTAGCAAAACATTGCATGTCCCAAATTTAGCGGTAAGCATTTTGCCTAATCATCCAAAGGGAATTTGCGAGCTAAAGTCATTGCACGCTGCCTAAAATTTTCATCTGCATTTACCTCACTAAATAAATAAATAAATAAATAAACCCTAAATTAATTAGGTACCTACCTAGTCATTTTGCTTAACGGTTATCTTTATACCTACTTGCCCACGAACCATTTCGATAACATACTTAAAATTACATTTGTGCTTACTGTCCCAAGCTGTGTGCCTACCTGCTTCTATTAGCTGTTTAGTTTGCTGACGTTGATTCCAGCGTAAGCAGTTTGTTCGGGATCAGCGGTCTAACAGCGCGCGCCTAGCTGCTGGGTGCCTATTCCGCTCAGCTAATCGCCCGCTTCGCTGACAAGAAACCGGACCTCCACGCCGCGCACCACGGACCGCGAAACGAGGAGCGTAACGTACCTATTTAATCATTTTCTGCCATTCTGATATCTCATTGCAATGACTTCTGAACTAAAATTTAAAGAACTAATTACAAAGCGCAGTTCCATTAAGGGACGCGTGACTAAATTTAAAATATATCTAGAATCATTAGTAGCTTTGGAAAGTATTTCTGCCGTAGAAGTCAACAAGCTAGCAATGAAGCTATCTAGAATGGAAGCATTATTCATTGAGTTCGACGGGCTGCAGAGTCAAATAGAGGTGCATAGCGAGGCTAATCAATCTGCTGAATTGTCCACCCGCGATTTTATAGAACAAGAATTTGATAATTGCATTGCTATCGCTCAAGATTTAATACAGTCTAACAGCTCAGCTCCCAAGCAGGTGGAAGGTAATGTTTCTAGCTGTTCCCACTCCAATGGGTGCCATCACCTTGAACACAACCCTCTGGGGTTCAAGTTACCTACAATAAATATACCCAAATTTGATGGCACTTATTCTAAGTGGTTGGAGTTTAAAGAAATATATTCTTTACTAATTCATGACAATCTTGAAATAAAAAATGTACACAAATTTCATTACCTCTGCACCTACTTGGAGGGTGAAGCTGCCCGGGTACTAAGTAACTTAGAAGTATCAGATAAAAATTATGATGAAGCTTGGTCACTCCTCTGCAACCGGTACGACAACAAAAGGCAACTAATCAATAACCATTTAAAATCATTATTTGCTATTGAGTCTGTACGGGAAACTGACAGATCTCTTCGATTCATTATCGATCACGTAACAAAAAATCTACGAGCGCTCAAAACGCTGGCTGGCTGGCTCAAAAAAACGTCCTTATAATTTATAACCTGGTGGCAAAGTTAGACAGCGGTACTGTTCTTAAATGGGAAGAACATAGAAATAATTTAACAGACATCCCCACACTAAATGATTTTTTCTCATTTCTAAAGAACCGTGCTGATGTTTTAGAAACTGTGAATCGAAATAAAACAGACAAACAGACAGTAACTAAACAGGTAACTCACCACTCAATTCCACACAAGAACCAGACTAGAGCATTTGCTGTAGCTACGCCTAAAGAGGCTTCCAATTCTTCTCGATCCAATTTTGAGTGTGTCGTTTGTTCCGGTAAACACCGCATATATGAATGCACCTCATTCAAGTCCAAAACGCCCGAAGATAGGAACTCTATTGCCGAATCACTTAATCTGTGTTCTAACTGTCTAAGGTCAGGTCACAATAATAAGGCTTGCCGCTTGCCTGGGACTTGTCGTTCATGTAAACAAAAACACAATTCTTTACTACATATACCAACAGTAGAGAGTAGAGTTGCCTCAACTTGCAACTTGCCTTCGTCAGTAGTTATGTCTGCCTTGTCTTCGTCAGATATTCTTTTGTGCACCGCCAAGGTGCGACTAACTAATCCTAATACCAATAAAACTATATGCGCACGCGCTTTACTTGACAGTGGGAGCCAATCGTCTTTTATCACTGAGAGTGTAAAGCAAAGACTCAATCTAACTCCTCAGCCATCAAATGTCAACATTGTCGCTATAGGAAATAATACTCTAAATCTGAGTCCAGAGCGCTGCTCTTTAAAACTTCAATCTAATACCTCGTCGTTCGAAGTCTCTATGTTTTGTCTAGTATTGAAAACTATATCTGATGACCTACCCAAGCATCATTTCAATATTAGTTCTCTAAAGTTAAATAACTTGGAGCTTGCAGACCCCAGCTTCAACGAACCATCCCCTATTGACATGCTTATAGGCTCTGACCTATTCTGGGACCTGATAGGTTCCGAACAGCGGTCTCTAGGGTTGAATAACCCTAATCTTCATAGCTCTAAGCTCGGATGGCTCATTGCAGGTCCTGCGCCTATTCAAATGCAACCTCCACCTAAAAGGTTCCTAGCCTGCAACTTTCTTCAAAGGAAGGATAAGCTCGAGGACATTCAGGAGGATCTATCTAAATTCTGGGAACTTGAAAATGTCCCTAAATCCCAACCTCTATCTGAGGAACAAAGGCTTTGTGAGAAGCTTTTCATCTCTGATACTCGCCGAGAAAGTGATGGTCGTTTTTGTGTAGGTATCCCTCTACGGGATGAACCAGACTGTCTGGGCGAATCCTACTTCATAGCAAAAAAAAGGTTCTATAATCTTGAAGCTCGTCTTAGAAAAAATCCTGAGTTGAAAAACATGTACTGTGACTTCATTCATGAGTACGCCGACCTTGGCCACCTTTCCGAGTCAACAGAGACCAAACCCCCAAATTCCTATTTTCTCCCTCATCACCCAGTGATTCGAGACAAAAGTGAAACCACTAAACTTAGAGTTGTGTTTAACGCCTCTGAACCTACTACTTCTGGCCTATCGGTCAACGACTTACAGATGGTGGGCCCCACTGTCCAAGACTCTTTGTTTAACATCTTAGTTCGATTTCGTCAGCATCGATATGTCATTTCTGGAGATGTAGAGAAGATGTATCGACAATGTAGAGTTAGAGAGTCTGATCGCAATCTGCAACTCTTCTTGTGGCGCGACAATGAAGATGAAAAATTGCGCACTCTAAGGCTCAATACTATAACCTACGGATTTGCGAGCTCTAGCTTCCTCAGCACCAGGTGCATATGGCAAATCGGCGAGGAATGTGACGACTCTACCATCAAAACTATTATTCAAAATGATATCTATTGTGATGACTTATTGACAGGGGCAAGTACTGCCGAAGAGCTACGTCGCATTCAACGCGCGGTTTCCAGTGAGCTGGCTAAAGGCTGCTTTCCACTTAGAAAATACCGTTCAAACTTACCTAATGTCCTAGAGGCTGATCCTAACAATAATGAAAATCTAATCATCAGCAATGCCACAAGTACCCTTGGTATTGGCTGGTCCCCTCAATCTGACAGTATTCACTTTCCTCTCGAACATTCGCCAAGTACTATCTTCACCAAAAGGGCTATCTTGTCTTCAGCATTCAAGATATTTGACCCTCTAGGTCTATTGTCCCTGTGCACTATTAGAGCAAAAATCCTTCTCCAAAAACTGTGGAAAGAAAAAATAGATTGGGACGAACCAGTTCCCTACTCTATCCAAGGCTCTTGGCAAAAGTTCAGCCAGCAGCTTAACGCTCTATCGTCTCTAAAGGTCCCCAGACGGGCCCTAGCCAATTCAAACAATGTAGAGCTTCATTGTTTTTGTGACGCTTCACAGGTAGCCTATGGAAGCTGTATCTACCTACGCTCTATAGACGGTAATGGCAACGTGCATGTCAACTTATTATGTGCCAAGGCTCGTGTAGCTCCCATCAAAGCTTGCACCATCCCTCGTCTAGAGCTCTGTGGTGCTTTCCTTGGAGCTGAATTAAGCTCTGCTGTCATTAAAGCGTTGAGAATCGAACTTAAGCGCTGCGTCTTTTGGACTGACTCTTGTGTGGTTCTAGGTTGGCTTAGATCTCCCGACAAAACCAAAACATTCGTAGCAAACAGAGTCGCTGCCATAGGCGAACTCACCGACCCAAAGGCTTGGCGCTATGTTCCCACTTCTGAAAATCCTGCTGACCTCGCCTCACGAGGTGTAGATCCCCAAGAGGTCAATGATTCAACTATATGGTGGCATGGCCCTATGTTCCTCATGCAACCTGAGTCATCCTGGCCAATCTTATCAGCTGGCAATGAAGTCAACTTACCTGAATTAAAAGCGATGCACGCTTTGGTGGTGGAGGATGTACCTGCGGTACCCCTAAACTTTCAAAAATATTCTAGACTTACTACTCTTCAAAGAGTCTATGCTAGAGTCTTTAGATTCATACACAATTGTAAAAACAGTAATAATAAGCTGACGGGAACTCTACAAGTTCATGAACTAGAAAAATCCATGACTGTTCTCACTAAAATAGCTCAAAATGAATCCTTCTCAAAAGAAATAAACTCTCTACAGGCTAAGAAAACCCTCAAGACGAGCACTCATCTCTGCTCATTAAATCCCTTCCTAGATAAGAATGGCTTACTTCGTGTTGGAGGAAGAATTGACACCTCTGCCTATCCCTATGATAAAAGACATCCCATTGTTCTAAAGTCAAATCATTATCTCACTAAGCTTATTTTTCAGTATGAGCACATCCGCCTATTGCATGCCGGACCCCAGCTTCTACTCTCCTCTATTCGAGAGCGCTATTGGCCTATAGGAGGTCGCAGGCTCGCTCGAGAAGTGACAAGAAATTGCTTAGTTTGTCGTCGCTTCCAAGGCGACACGATGTCTAATATAATGGGTAACTTACCTGCTGATAGGGTAGAGCCTGACTTTCCATTCAGTACTGTTGGCACTGACTTTGCCGGTCCATTCCTAATAACAGATCGAAAAGGACGGGGATGCAAGATAACTAAATGTTATCTGTGCATCTGCGTATGCTTTAGATATAAGTGCCTACATTTAGAACTAGTGAGTGAACTAACCAAAGATGCTTTCGTGTTAACTTTAAAACGATTTATTGCTCGTAGAGGAATGCCTAGAATCATCTACTGTGATAATGGTCGCAATTTTGTAGCTGCCGCAAAAGAAATTGGTAGTTTTTTGCAAACAAATAGTGACTCTATATGTGACTTTGCTGCCCGGCGGGGCATAGAATTTCGTTTTTCTCCCGTTTACGCTCCTCATTTCAACGGTCTAGCGGAGGCCGGTATCAAGTCGGCTAAGTTCCATCTGCATAGAATCCTAGGACAGTCTCACTTGACATTTGAGGAACTGACCTCTGTATTTGCACAGATAGAAGCTATCCTTAATAGCCGACCCCTTTGTCCTATGAGCCCATCACCTACTGATTTCCAGACTCTTACCCCTGCTCACTTTTTGATTGGTAGGCAAATGACGGCGCTACCCTCGCCGAGCTATCTGGACTACGGGACGCATCGGCTCGACCGGTTTCAGCGCCTTGAACAAATCAAGCAGCACTTCTGGAGCCGGTGGTCATCGGAATATGTTGGAGAGCTACAGCAGCGTACCAAGTGGCGAGTGAAGTCCCGAGATCTCAAGCAAGACGATCTAGTCTTAATAAAGGAAGCCAATACACCACCCCTATGCTGGCGCCTAGGAAGAGTAAGCAGGCTCTACGTCGGGTCCGACCAAACGCCTAGAGTTGCCGATATAGCCACAGCCAATGGAACTATAAGGCGAGCGCTCAATCGCCTGGTTCTCCTATCACCTGACGAAAGCCATGATGCTTGAAAGCTACACTAGAGCTTTCAAGGGCCGGGAAGATGTCGGCGCCACATCGGCACCGAGGAACGCAACGCAGCCGCAGCCCTCACGCTATTGGCTACCCGCAGTCAACGCTATTGGTACCACGCGCGGCATGACGCGATAACAAGCCAATCACAAGATCGGAATATCACGACATACACTCGCCACGTTCTCAACCTACGCTAATGATGCCAACACATTACCACCTGTCACGGCATCGAACGCGCGTCGTGTCCTAAGCTAATTATTTGCCTAAAGTACTAATTGTAATTATACCATTAAACCTACATATTTTTTTATTTAAAGTTTGTTCCCTATCTCGAACAAACGTAAATTTCTAAAAATATTAAGCAGGCGGCAAGGTCTCAGGCGTGAATTACCAACTTACACTGACAGACTTCATAAATACAAACTAAAAAGCCTGGAAGATCGGCGTGTTATATCAGATTTATGTATTCTCCATAAAATAGCCAATGGCGATTTCAACAGTAAATTACTAGAAAAACTGGAATTTAAAATTCATACTCACTCGATTCGTCAGCCACAACTTTTTAATATACCTTCGGCAACTAATAACGTTTCCCAAAACAACCCTTTACACAGAATGTGTAAAACATACAATAGTTTAAATGATGAATACGACATTTTTAATAATAGTTTATTATCGTTCAAGAAAAAATTAAATAAATTATAGTTCTTACTTTACATTTTCGATAATAAAGATATATTTTCTCTCTGTTTCTTCTCCTTTATCTTTTTTTCTTTTCTTTGTCTTTTTTTCTACATGTAATGTATATATTATTTTGTTTTTGTTTTTTAATATTTCTTATGTACTCGTTACTTTAAATGCACAGACTCATACTGTATTAATTCACTTTTTTGGTTAAGTTTCTTTATATAATTATTATATGTTTTCATTTGAATGTTGTGTACAGACATAATTGGAGAACAAATTTAATATGATATTTTTAGTTTTTAATACGAAGATTTTTTTTAATTTGTTTTCTGTTTCTGTACGTAAATAAATAAAATAATATAAAAATAAATAAAACTTAAACCTGAACAGAACATAATAAAAATAATAATAAAAAATACATAATAAGGATAGGCAAATTTCAATATGAATTAAAAACGCTTTCTTAATATTGTATACATCTAGATAATTAAATAAGTCTATGTTAATAAATTTTTCATTATAATTATTACAAGCTCGATTAATGAAAGGTTTGTATGAAAGTCTGTAATTAATATGTAAAAAAGTACAAAAAAAATCACCTATACCTAGACGACTTAAGAGTTTTAAAATCACTTTCTTTAAAATGATGTCCACATAGCCATAAATAGAAAGATTATGATTTCGTCAATTTTGGTCGTCTTATTGCTTTAGCTCACAATTTCTTCAGTTTCTGTCTTTTGAGAATAAATGATATCCATTTTCTTTGTATCCTGGAACTGCACAATTGGTATTTTAATTAAATTTTAAATAAAATGAAAAAAATACATCCACGCTATAGAGCTTTACGATACACTGAGGGTCATAGTGATCGCGACATCTAGCGGGAGAAAAAGGCACAATTCTTTCCCACTACGAAACCAATTTTCATTACATATTATAAGGTTGACATTCGCATCACACATTAAAACTTCTATTACGTTTTAGATATCGATAAATATCCGTGTTATTATTTAAATGAAAAATTTACGAAACTAGTTTCGTTCTCTCGCTCACCCTTGCTCCGCTCGGGTTCGTCCTTAGAGACGCTGGGCGATCACTTCGCGCTGGGTCACCTTGCATAAATCTTTAAAATTAAAGCTTGGTTTTAAAAAAAGAGGAAATTAAGTCTCTACTGTAAAGTACAACAAGTATTGGGTGGTTTAAGCAAATAGGAACTAAGGCGACGATGTTATTTTGATGAATTGTAATTTGAATACAAAATTGTCTAGCGGTTTACATGAGGAAATCCGCCGTCCGATCTTTCTTGTTGGATCAAGTGGTTACACGGTGTTACCTCATACCACAATATTGTAGAACGCGCCGCCTGGGCTCCCTAGCGCCATGCCCTGATGGCGGTAGTCGGTGGAGAGCTTTCGATGCGAAGCATTGTGGATTCCATTATGCGCGATGCGAGGTCCTTGTCGGCGATGGTATCCTTTTGCTAGGCTGTTATCTCACAGAAGGAGACGGCGGAGAGGGAACGCGAGGCTAATGCCCTATGCGCATCTTCTCCACCCACAAAAGTTATCGATCGTCTTTTATACACGCCATGCGCATACACAACTACGAGAGCAGTTTCAAGGAAGGTAAGAGTGGTTTACGTGCCCTCGGTACGCAGTTCAAATAAGGCCACTTTTCCTGATGAACCCGAACACTAAAAAGCTTCGACGTAAAAGATGGAAGCACTTACTTGCCGTTTATCTACCTCTCCTTCACGTTCCAGGCGCCTACAAAAGACTCGTTTACAATGCCTAACAGCCAAGGCAATGGAGGCGTATAATTTCACATAATCAGCCCAAGACAAAAATAATACATAATTTTAATAAATTAAGATAACTTTGCTTAGAAAAAAAATTGTTTAAGACTTTAGTGAATATATTATAAAGTTTTTCTTCATTTACATAAGTTAAAAAAAAATCTTTTGACGTAGTATGCTCTACTTTAGGTAACGGTTGTCTAAATTGTTGTCGCGTGTAAGCAATCCTAGCAAATTTTGTGTCTACTCTTCAGATTATTCTTTTTTTATTCCTACTCCATCAACATCGTTTACAAGAAAGCATTTTCCTGAAGGCATGCAATATCTTTATGCCGCGCTTATCACCTTAAAAAACACCAAGTCTAAGGACCCTTCCTTTTGAATAAAGAAGTCGGTATACCTTTCCTACCTTTCTATGCGACACTTTTTGTTTTTATGGCATCCACGCGAATGAAGTCGCGGGCACAGTTAGTTTAATCTGATATTATAAAGAGACAGATTTTTTGTATGTTTGTATGATTGTTTGTAATGGATACTCTTTTTGTAATGGGTAAGCTACATTTTCAGCGAATAACATGTATTACGTATTTTATTAAAAAAAATAGAGATCACCGCGAAGATATTTGCAATATTGTAACTCAAGATATCAAAAATTTGCCTATAAAAGTCATTATACGTACTTTATACGTACGTACTAGCGACTAACCGTCGCTTGTACACAATTTCATGGATTTTAGTTTTTTTACGCGGAACTCTGATTCTTTTTCTAAAATAAAAGTAGCCTAAGTTATTCCGTATAACACCAGCTATCTGCCAGTGAAAGTCCCGTCAAAATCGGTCTTGACGTTTCGGAGATTAACCAAAGCAAACAGATAGACTAAAAAAATTTTCTTACATAAGTACCGTATATACTTTATATACTTTCATATGCATTTAGTAAAAAGCTATTAATTGGTATGACGGTATGACAAACAGACACTTCAATTTTATTTATTTGTATAGATACCGTACCTAAGTCCCTAGTTAAGATAATCAATCGGAAAAACTACTATATGTATTGTATGTGGCAGGAAGTACCTACCTACTATAGATTTTTTTACTGGGAAATGCATCTGCAATGACCATAATTCCTGCGTGCCAGAAACTATCAGGAGATATCTAACGTCATCGGAAGATTTGCATATTATTCTACGCCCGTCTCGCCATCACCGTTTCATGAGTTAGCGTATCAAGAAAAAAATGATTCAGAATAACAACAATTATTTAAATAGAAATTTAAGTTGCTCAATAATACAGAACCCTATATTGTTTTAATAAATGCTAACTGACCGGTAGTTAGCAGATAATCTGAGCTCATAGGCTTTGGTATAAATAAGTGATTTTGAGGAAATTAAAGTAAATATTCCACCAACCACAACATGAGTAACTGTAATCGTTTATAAATTTTAGTTCTTTGGGTATAAATTCATAATAAATACGTAAGCATACTTGTATATCTATACATTTAGTTTAAATATTACAAGAATAAATAAAATTTTATAGTGGAATAGTAATAGCTATGGCTCTGGCCGTGCGAGGGATAACACGCCGAGTACTGCTGTTCACAGTATGGGTTCTATACGTTAACGCCAGCAAGTGGCCCGCACACAGAGACGTACCAGGTAATATTATTATATATATTAGAGATAAATTTATAATTTATTAAAGTATAAATTACAAAGTAATATAAAATATTACAAGTATTATAATTGACTATTTTACTGAATTAAAGATACTATATTCTATTGTATTAAAATAACAATAAATATACCTAGGTTCATATGTGTATCTGTTTGTCTATAACGTTGCATTTAATAGATTCTTTAAAAATATAGAGATAACAAAAGCTTCAAACTACCCAATATTACATTAATATTAAGAGGAAACAATTATAATTATCATTTTTATATATATGGAGGTAGGTAAATAAGACAAAGGAAACTGTAACAATTAATTTATATTACTGTAGTTATTATCATCACAAAATATCACAAAATAGTTTAGAATAACCAAAGAAAATATATCAGCAAAAATACTATAAATAGAAACCTTATGCTTTAAACAATTATCAAAGCTACTTATCTTTGTCCTGATCAACTGCTCGCCAAAGAAAAAGTGATTCGCTAACGAACACAGGGTATTTATAACATCGTATCGAGCCGTTATGTCAAATCATAAACTTTTTAAAGATTTCAAATAAAATGTTGCCAATAAAAAAACTATTTATAAGTATAGTAAAATTAAAAATGATAATAAAAAAGATTATTATATAGAAAAATACTGTAAAATCAATAATAATCTATCACGGCCATACTGACAGTACTTCGTCCACGAAGTACTACTATGACACACTGACTCTTTCATTATATTATCGTTATATACAATTATACTTCAGGGTTAATTCTAAGACTAAATAGTATTACAATTTATACAGATCAACACATTACGTATATATACTAACAACACAAAGTATTTACACTAAGAATGTTCCGATGTACAGCTGCATTAATATTATATTTATAACATCTATAACTCTTGTTATATCAACACATCATGTACAATGGTAAGGTTGCTCAAGTCGTACCACGGCCTAAGTCGTACCCCGGTAATATCTTGTCTCGTAATTATAAATTGCGCCATATAGTGTTGCTAATCTGAACTTCTTAGTCGAGCGACCAAACAGAAACAAGTGGACGACCGGCCGACTTCGTGAAGTAAAAATATTGAAAAAGTAAGTTTTTGCCCAGTTTTCATTAACATTATTGACTCATTTGTAAACTTTTTATGGCAGGAATAAGATCCTTAACTTTTTTCTTTGTTAACATGTGTTTGTGATACTTATCTGGTAATCTTTTCGAATACTCAAACATTAGAACTTTCTTAGGTTATGTTATTACTTTTATTTTTAAATTTAGAAAACACCGCCGCTTAAGTCGTACCTGTACAAAATTCCTAAGTCGTACCTGTACAAAATTTCTACCCGTACTGGTACGACTTAAGAAATTTGTTTAATATGAAGTTTATATAATTTTTTATCAGGTTATACTTAAATATGGCGAAGAGAAGGTACGATACTTGGAAGCAGGAGGATACGGACGAAGCCTTAGAGAAACATCAGGATGGAGAAATTAGATTGAATGAAGTTAGTAGAAGATTTAATATACCGAAGCCTACTCTGCGACGATATTTGAAAGGTTTTAATAAAAGAACAAAATTTGAAAGACCTAATGATATGTCACCAGACATGGTAGAGATATTAGCACAGCATTTGATGAATTTAGAGTCTTGCTTCTTCGGATTATCATCTATCGGCCACTGAATTTAGGAAACTTCCCTTCGAGCCCGCTGAAAAATTTGAACTACCTTATCGTTTTAACAAGGAGAAGAAAATTACAGGCAAAAAGTGGTATTACAGGCTTATAAATAAACATCCTACTTTGTCGTTGCGTGTTCCAGAACCTCAATAGCCAGAACTAAAGGGTTTAAAAAGAGCTTGTTAATGAGTTTTTGATAAGTACTAAGAAATACTGGATAAATACAAGTTTGTTGCATACCAAATATACAATGTGGACGTAACTGCACTATCCACCGTTCACAAACCATCCAAAGTTATTGCTCAAAAGGGAAAACACCAAGTAGGTGCAATTACAAGTGGAGAAAGGGGACTGACCACAACAGGCATACGTGTGATAAATGCAGCAGGCGAATTTATACCACCCATGTTGATATTTAAGCGTAGCAGACTGAATGATGCCTTAAAAAAAGGAGCTCCTTCAAAGACAGCGTTTGGTTGCTCGAAAAATGGATGGATAATATCAGAACTTCAATGACTTCAACATTTTATTAAATGCACAAAATTAGAAAAAAGTGATCAAAAACAAATATTACTTTACTAGATGGCACCCATACCAAATTTATATAAATTTAACATTTATACTTTATACAAATTTAACTTTCTAATTAATAACCAAAAAAATGTTTTAAGTTGTCTCAGACTGAATTTTTTGTAATTATGTAGTTGTTCATTGTGATCTCTGGTTATTAAGTATATTTCTGTATAGTTTATTATGTGTTAATTAAAGTATATTTTCTAAGTACGACTTAGGCTATAGGTGGTACGAATTAGGCAACTAGGTGCCTTAATCGTACCGAAGGTAAGTTTTTGAAAATCGTTAAAATATCTATTTTGATAAAAGATTTTTCAGTTTTTATTGTTGTTGATTAAAAGGCAACTAAATAAATATTCAATACATGCAGAAGATTTTGTTTTATATCAATTGCGCTGAATATAACAGTATTATTTCCTTAGGGGTTACGACTTAAGCAACCTTACCCTACATAGCTACTTGCATAGACATGTCTGTCCCCTTCAACCGCTGCTGTTGAGATAGACTAACACCAAACAAGTAGTACTAACAGCGAACACTTGCCAACTACATAGACATACCAATCACATTCACCCGCTGCTTGTGAGATCAATTGGTACCAAATAGGAGGCCGACCAGCGGAAGTGCTAATAACTAAGCCTGTACCCTAGACATGCTGATTCCTTTCACCCGCTGTCGATGAGACTAATCAGCACCAAGGTACGACTAACCAGCGGTTAACATTTCTTTTTTTTTCATCATTATTGTGCATACAAACTTGAAATATATATTCATATTCCATACATATAATAAAATTGTTACCAAGCCAAATCTATACATATGTATAACATATTTTGGAAAATCTTATAAAAATAAACATTATTATCGATACAGAGGCCGAATCTATAGTTTTTAGAATTTTTGTCTGTCTGTCTGTTACCGCATCACAGAAAAACCACTGGAGGGATTTTGATGAAATTTGGTATGGTGATAAACATATACGGGTAAACATATAGGTTACTTTTACTCTTCAAAAGAAAGATCCAAAAGAAAATATCACATCTCTGAGAAAAAAATGCGAAAACTGCAATGTAAGAGTATAGTAATATGTAAAACCTAAACGTTTGGTTTTTGGTCATCAGAACGCGGGCGGAGCCGCGAGCAATGCTAGTTTTACATATTATTAAAAAAAAAACAAACAAAATTAATAGCACAACCTTAATTACCTAAGTAATAAATTGTATTTATTAGTTAATATAACATAATTATTACCTTAACAAATTTAATATTATTTTTAGATAGCATTTTCAACAGTATATTTCCTTCCACCCATTCTCCAGGCCAAAATCGCAAATCTTTTTTTTGCAACAATTATATTTCTTAAAATTACCTGGACCCTTCAGAGCATAGCGGTCATTGGAAAGAATCTTAAAGAATTTCATAGGGACCTTTAAATTTCGGTTTTTACTTTGTCATTACATCTATTATCCTGATTAACATAAACTAAATAACCTACCTTATAAATTTTAGTGTTTCTTCTAACCGAATCAAAACGTAGCTTAAATTTTTCCGCGACTTGTTGTAATATTTGACTAGCCAGATCAGCTCTCACATCAATTTTAGGCTCTTAAGTTATCGTCATCGAGAACATAATTTAATCGAACTTGCACCACTAGTATATTTTAATTTACAAAAGATTAGTTAGGAGGTCAATTGAATATTGCAGTGTTATTTGGAATCCTCAATATTAAAAAAGAATATTGAAAGAATTCAAAAAACATTTCTCTGGCACCTTTGCTATAGCGAAAATTTAATTAAACAACTGCTAACATATAAAGACAGAGTTAAACATACACAGAAACTGATATGGACATTCCAATAAAATTAGAAAAATTGAAGTCTCTGATATTAAACTTACTTATGGTGATAGCTTATAACTTATATCTATTGTGTTGCTTATTTGCTTTTTTTTTCCTTTCTTCTTTTGTTGCTTTAAGTAACTAATTATAATAATGTCTTTGATAATTTTTTTATAGATTATAGTGCTATTATTTTTTAATTTTAAAATGTTCCGTGTAACTGTTTACGCATGTCGTGGTTACCTATAAGTACGTTTTGTTAAGTTACTGTATATCATGTTGGTGATCCTAAATAAATAAATATTTGCTTCTACCCCGATGAACAAGCGAAAAGGAGAAACTCCCGTCGATTTTTGTACATTAGTATAAGTAATAGATTGCTGTACCTTCCATACTTCGTTCGGCCACTCTGATAACTCATTACACATAGTATTCAACATATTAATTACTGTAGATACATAACGTTCAACCTGCCCATTGCTAATTCTAGGTGTACCATTAGCTATCAGGTGATGTTCGATATATAACTCACGAAAAGGGGCTTGAATTTTATTAGAGCTAAAATTTATTCAACGATCAGTGACAACTAATGAAGGTGTAACAAATATCGTAATAGTTTTCCTTATAATAGGTATTAACGTTTGAGCATTTAGTGTTTTAAGAGGTTTCAATAAACAAAATGTGGTGAACCAGTCTACCAATAATAGAACATGGTTGTACCCTTCCTTGGTTGCTTAAAGGGGGCCAGTGCAATCTAAATGTATTGTATGAAAGAGAATAGTAGTATTATCAATCGGATGTAGTAGTCCTTGTTGAATTTATTTTAGTTTGATTAGGACCAGAACATCCTTTTTTTCTCTGGGCAAACTTGAAAGAATGAAAAATGTATATTTCAAT